GAAGCTCCATTTACAATTGCCGATAGAATTTACGGATCAACTTTTTTCATAGCAACAGGATTTCATGGAATTCATGTAATAATTGGAACTTTATTCTTACTAACTTGCTACATTCGACATTTAAATAATCACTTTTCTAAAAACCATCACTTTGGATTTGAAGCCGCAGCTTGATATTGACATTTTGTAGATGTAGTATGATTATTTCTTTATATTTCTATTTACTGATGAGGAAATTAATTATTTATATAATATATATAGTATATTTGACTTCCAATCAAAAAGTTTAATTATTTTTAATATAAATAATTATAATAATTATATTAATTACTATTTTTTTTTTTATTTTATCTAATTTAATAATAATAATATCTATAATTCTATCAAAAAAATCATTTATAGATCGAGAAAAATGTTCACCATTTGAATGTGGATTTGACCCAAAATCAATATCACGAATCCCTTTTTCATTACATTTTTTCTTAATTACAATTATTTTTTTAATTTTTGATGTAGAAATTGCACTAATTTTTCCAATTATTATACTATTTAAAATAGTAAACATATTAACCTGAATTAAAACAAGATTTTTCTTTATTATTATTTTACTAATTGGACTATATCATGAATGAAATCAAAATATATTAAATTGAACAAATTAAAAAAAAATTACATATATATATATATATATATATATATATATATATATATATATAGGATTTTAGTTTAAAAAACATTTGATTTGCAATCAAAAATTATTGAAATATCAATTTATCTTACATTATATATATATATATATATATATATATATATATATATACATATATTTAAATATGAAGCAATAATTTGCATTTAATTTCGACTTAAAAATTAGAGTAATTTCTCCTTATTTATTAATTGAAACCAAATTAGAGGTATATCACTGTTAATGATAAAATTGAAATATAATTTCCAATTAAAGAAATATAATGAATTAATATTAAGCTGCTAACTTAATTTTTAGTGGTTAAATTCCATTAATATTTCTATTATTTTTTATTTATATAGTTTAAAAAAACATTACATTTTCATTGTAAAGATAAAAAATTTTTTTTATAAATTATTTAAAGATAAATCTATCTCCTTAATATCTTCAATATTAAACTCTATAATATAAGCTATTTAAATATAATTAAATAATAAAAAAAATAAATAAAATTATAAATCATAAAATAAATCTAAATAAATAAATTTTAAAATTATTTATCTGATAAACATTATAAAATACAGAATAATTTTTTAAAATATTAAAAATACCCTTACCTCTATAAATCTCTCTTCAACCCATATCAATATTTTTAAATAAAATTTGTCTAAAATTTAAATAAATATAACTCAAACCATAAGTAGATAAATTAGGTATAAATCATATTAAACATAAAAAATTTCTTAAATTATATCTTATTAATAACTTATTTAAACTATAAATCTTCATATTACTAACCATAAAACCTAAAATTGAGCCTAAAATACTAACATAAATTACTATTAATTTTAAATTAAAAGGTAAATAAATTATATAAGGATAAGAAAAAATAAACCAACTTAAAAAACTTCCACTTAACAATCTTATAAATAATAAAACAAATATTCTATTTAACATAATATAATCTTCATCATATAAATTATAAATTATTATTAAATTAAAATCATTAATTATAACATATATAATTAAACGAAAAGTATAAAAAACAGTTAAACCAGTAGATAAATAAAATAAAATAAAAACTATTAAATTAAAACTATTAAAACTAACCATCTCTAAAATTAAATCTTTAGAATAAAACCCAGATAAAAAAGGAATACCACATAAAGATAAATTTGAAATATTTAAACATAAAGAAGTTAAAGGGATATATAAAGATAAACCACCTATATAACGAATATCTTGAATATCATTTATTATATGAATAATAACCCCAGCACACATAAATAATAAAGCTTTAAATATAGAATGAGTTAATAAATGAAAAAAAGCAATATCAGGAAACCCCAATCTTAAAATTCTTATCATTAAACCTAACTGACTTAATGTAGATAAAGCAATAATTTTTTTTAAATCAAATTCATAATTAGCAGAAATACCAGATATAAATATAGTTAAAATAGATAAAAACAATAAAATCTTAAAAAAAAATATATCAATCAATAAATAATTAAAACGAATTAATAAATAAACACCAGCCGTAACCAAAGTAGAAGAATGAACTAAAGCAGAAACAGGAGTAGGAGCTGCTATAGCAGCAGGTAATCAAGAACTAAAAGGAATTTGAGCACTTTTAGTTATAGCTGCAATAATAATCATAAAACTAACAACAAATATAACATAATCATTTTTCATAAAATCTATATAAAAAATATAATTTCAACTTCCATAATTTATAACTCAACAAATAACCATTAAAATTATAACATCACCAATACGATTAGATAAAGCAGTTAGTATACCAGCATTATAAGACTTTAAATTTTGATAATAAATTACTAAACAATAAGAAATTAAACCTAAACCATCCCAACCTAATAAAATTCTAATCAAATTAGGACTAATAATTAATAAAACTATCGAAAACACAAACATCAAAACTAAAATAATAAAACGATTTAAATTTAATTCAGAATTTATATATCTTTTTCTATAAAAAATAACAACAGAAGAAATTAATGAAACAAATATTATAAATAATAAAGACATTCAATCTAATAAAATTGATATTACAATACTTATAGAATTAAAACTAACAATCTCCCACTCAAAAAATACAGATAAACCATTTATAATAAAATAAACTATAAAAAAAAAATTATTTATTCTAAAAAAAAATAAAAAAAAAAGGGAATTAAAACAAATTAAGCTATTTTTAAAAATAATTTAAAATGATATTTATCACATCTATGACCCCACAAATCATTATTTTTATTTAAACTATTTAAATATATATATATATATATATATATATATATATATATATTATTTATTATTATTATTATTATTTTAAAATCAAATAGAAATAAAATCAACCTTTAAAATTAATATATTTAAAGGAAATCAATGTAAAAATAATAATAAATACTCGCGAGATAAACCAACATAAAATCTATATAAACCTTGAAAATATTTACCATGTTGAATATAAGAATATAAATATAAACTATAACCAGCACTAAAAAAAGAAATCATTATTAATAAAATTATTGAAATATTTGATCATCTTACCAATCTATTAATTAAACTAATTTCACCTAATAAATTTAAAGAAGGGGGAGCTGCTATGTTTGAAGATAATAATAAAAATCATCATAATCTCATAGAAGGTATGAAATTTATTATCCCCTTATTAATATATAAACTACGACTATGTAAACGCTCATAATTAATATTAGCTAAACAAAATATACCAGAAGAACATAAACCATGACTAATTATTAAAACATAGGAACCAATAAATCCTCAATAATTTATAATTATAATACCACCAATAACTATTCTTATATGAGCTACAGAAGAGTAAGCAATTAAAGATTTTATATCAACTTGACAAAAACATTTTATTCTAATAAATAAACCTCCAACTAATCTAATAATAATTCAAATATAATTTAATTTTAAATTTACTTCTTGTAAAAAAATTATAACCCGTAATAAACCATAACCACCTAATTTTAACATAATACCAGCTAAAATTATTGACCCTGAAACTGGAGCTTCAACATGAGCTTTAGGTAATCATAAATGAACAAAATATATAGGTATTTTGACTAAAAAAGCAAAAATTATAGAAATATACAATAAATATATATTTATATTAAAAAATTTTAAAAAATAAATTGTTATTGTATTTAAATCATTAAAAACATAAATAATCCCCATTAATAAAGGTAAAGAACCAAATAAAGTATAAAATAATAAATACATACCAGCTTGAATACGTTCCGGTTGATATCCTCAACCAATAATTAACAGTAAAGTAGGAATTAAACTTGCCTCAAAAAAAAAATAAAATAATAATAAATTTAAAACTCTAAATGTTAAATATAATATAATTAATAAAAAAATTACATTAAATAAAAAAAAATTAAAATAAAAATTTAACTTAAATAATCTCTCACTTGCTATAATTATTAAACTACAAATTCAAATTCTTAATAAAATTAAACCAAAAGAAATAATATCACAATAAAATATATATCTTATATTAAAAAAACATATAACATTCAAATTTAAATTTATAAATAAAAATATTATTAAAAATAATATTATTTGAACCAATCAAAATATATTTTTTATAAAACATAAAGGAATTATAAAAATTATTATAAATAAAATTTTTATCATTATAATATTCTAAATCTTTGAAAATAATCATTACCATGTCTACGAATTATTGAAACTAAAATTGATAAACCTAAAGAACCCTCACAAACAGAAAAAACTAAAAAAACTATTAATATATATATATCATAATCAATAAATATCAATAAAACTAAAAAAAAAAAAAAAATTCTTAAAACAATAAATTCTAATCTTAATAGAACAACCAATAAATGTTTATTTTTAGAAACAAAAATTAAATTACCGATAAAAAACATATAAATAAATAAAAATCAAATATCATAAATTAACATTTGTGTTTTAATAGTTTAAAATAAAACATTGGTCTTGTAAACCAAAAATAAGAATTTTCTTTTAAAACTTCAAAGAAAAAGAAAACTCTTTATCGATAATCTCCAAAATTATCATTTTTTTTTTAAACTATTCTTTGAAATAAAAATAATTTTATCTTCTATATTAATTATAATAACAAGAATTATATATTTTATAAATCACCCACTATCTATAGGAATAATAATTCTAATACAAACAATAATTACATGTATAATCAGAGGAATATTAATTAAAACATATTGATTTTCATATATTTTATTTTTAATTTTTTTAGGTGGATTATTAGTATTATTTATTTATGTTTCTAGAATTGCATCTAATGAATTATTTTTATTTAACTTAAATATAAAAACATTAAATATTATTATTATAATAATTACCATTATTATAATAATATATTTCATTAATATTAAATATAATAACTTAATTGAAAATAACTCAGAAATAAATAAATTATTTACAAAAATATTATTTTTCAATGATGAAAACAAAATTAATTTAAACAAAATATATAATAATCAAACATCATTTTTAACAATAATATTAATTATTTATTTATTTGTTAATTTAGTAGCAGTAGTAAAAATTACAAATATTTTTTATGGACCATTACGATCATCAAATAAATAAATAATATATATATATATATATATATATATATATATATAATTTAATATAAATGATAATATTTTTTAAATCAATTCGAAAAACACACCCAATTATTAAAATCATTAATAATTCATTAATTGATTTACCTAGTCCATCTAATATTTCTTCTTGATGAAACATAGGATCACTATTAGCTTTATGTTTAATAATTCAAATTATTACTGGATTATTTTTAACAATATATTACACAGCAAATATTGAAATAGCTTTTTATAGTGTAAATTATATTTGTCGAAATGTAAACTATGGTTGAATAATTCGAACATTACATGCTAATGGAGCTTCATTTTTTTTTATTTGTATTTATTTACATATTGGACGAGGAATTTATTATGAATCCTTTAATTTAAAATATGTATGATTAATTGGAATTATAATTTTATTTATGCTAATAGCAACTGCTTTTATAGGTTATGTTTTACCATGAGGTCAAATATCTTTTTGAGGAGCAACTGTAATTACAAATTTACTATCTGCAATTCCTTATTTAGGAACCATATTAGTAAATTGAATTTGAGGGGGGTTTGCTGTAGATAATGCTACATTAACCCGATTTTATACATTTCATTTTTTATTACCATTTATTATTTTAATATTAACAATAATTCATTTATTATTTTTACATCAAACAGGATCTAATAATCCTTTAGGATTAAATAGAAATTTAGATAAAATCCCATTTCATCCATTTTTTACTTTTAAAGACTTAATTGGATTTATTATTTTAATTAAAATATTAACCTTATTAACTTTAATTAACCCCTATTTATTAGGTGATCCAGATAATTTTACACCAGCAAATCCATTAGTAACACCAGTTCATATTCAACCTGAATGATATTTTTTATTTGCTTATGCAATTCTCCGATCAATTCCTAATAAATTAGGAGGGGTAATTGCCTTAATTATATCAATTATAATCTTAATCATTTTACCATTTACATTTAAAAAAAAAATTCAAGGAATTCAATTTTATCCAATTAATCAAATTATTTTTTGAATATTCTTAATAATTACAATTTTATTAACATGAATCGGAGCTCGACCTGTAGAAAATCCATATATTATTACAGGACAATTATTAACAATTATATATTTTTTATATTTTTTTTTAAACCCAATTATTGGAATATACTGAGATAAAATTTTATTTAATAAAAAAAAAAATAATTAAATTAATGAGCTTGTTATAAGCATTTGTTTTGAAAACTTAAGAAAGAATAATTATTCTATTAATTTTTATTCAATACTAAAAATATTACAATTAAAATAAATAAAACTTTAAACCTAAAAATAATAATAAATAATTTAATGAAATAGGTAAATATCTTTTTCAAGCTAAATATATTAACTTATCATAACGATAACGAGGTAAAGTACCACGAACTCAAATAAATAAAAAAGAAATTAATCTTAATTTTAAATAAAAAAAAAATCTTAAATTATAACCGCCCATATTTATAATAACTAAAATTATTCTTATAAATAAAATACTCGAATATTCAGCCAAAAAAATTAAAGCAAACCCTCCTCTTCTATATTCAATATTAAATCCAGAAACTAACTCTCTTTCACCCTCAGCAAAATCAAAAGGAGTTCGATTTGTCTCAGCTAATAAAGAAGAAAAAAAACATAAAAATAAAGGAATTATAATAAATATAAATCAAATTATTTCTTGATATAAATAAAAAAAATAAATATCAAAACATATAATTAATAAAATTGAAGATATAAAAATTAAAGCTATTCTTACCTCATAAGAAATAGTCTGAGCTACAGAACGTAAACCACCTAATAAAGCATAATTAGAATTAGAAGATCAACCAGCAATTATAACTATATAAACACCTAAACTAGTTAAACACAAAAAAAATAAAACACCTAAATTAAAACAAATTAAGCTAAATATATAAGGAATTAAACTTCAAAGTAATAATGATAAAATAAATCTAAAAACAGGAGAAAAATAATAACAAAAATAATTAGAAAAATTAGGATAAGTTCTTTCTTTAGTAAATAATTTAATAGCATCAGAAAAAGGCTGTAACAAACCTATAAAACCTACCTTATTAGGACCTTTTCGAATCTGAATATAACCTAAAACTTTTCGCTCTAATAAAGTTAAAAAAGCAACCCCAATTAAAACCCCTAAAATTAAAATAATTATCCCAATTAAAATTATTAATAAATCAAAAATATAAATTACTATCTATATAAATTAATTTATATATAAATTGACTTCTAAAACCAATACATTTATTCTGCCAAAATAGTTTATAAATAAATTATATAAATAATTAATAATTTAAATAAAACTTAATAAAATTCAATATAATTCAATATAATTGTAATATTTAATCCTTTCGTACTAAAATATTATAAATATTAAAAGATAGAAACCAACCTGGCTCACACCGGTTTGAACTCAGATCATGTAAGATTTTAATGATCGAACAGATCAAAATTTTAAACTTCTACATTTAAATTTTATCTTAATCCAACATCGAGGTCGCAAACTTTTCTTTTTATTTGAACTAAAAAGAAAAATTACGCTGTTATCCCTAAGGTAATTTTTTCTTTTAATCAATAAAATTGGATCATTTAACCACTTATTAATGTATAATATTAAAAAAAGTTAATTAAATTTTTTTATCACCCCAACAAAATAATTTAAAATTATAAAAATATAAAAATAAAATATTTACAAAATAAATTATAAAACTCTATAGGGTCTTCTCGTCTTTTTAAATAATTTTAACTTTTTAATTAAAAAATTAAATTCAACTTTTTTTATAAAAGAGACAGTTTATATTTCATCCAATCTTTCATACAAGTCACCAATTAAAAGACTAATGATTATGCTACCTTTGTACAGTCAAAATACTGCAGCCCTTTAATAAATATATCAGTGGGCAGATTAGACTTTAAATTATTAACAAAAAGACATGTTTTTGATAAACAAGTGAATATAAATATTTGCCGAATTCCTTTTTTATAATTAATCAAATAAATTAATATTTTTATTAATTAAATTTTACTAATTTTATCATTATAATTTAATTTATTAAATTAAAATTTATTTTTATATAAAAAATTAAATAAAATTAAATTTTTTTATTAATAAAATTATTTATAATAAAATAAAATTTATTAACAATATAAATTATATAAATTTTTCATTTAATAAAATTATTATAAAAATTTAATTTAAAGATTATCCCTTAAATTATTTTATTAAAAATATAATTTTTATTAATTTAATTAATAAAAAATTTAATTAATAAAAAATTAAATTTTTTTCTATAAAAACTAGATATATTTAAAAACGAATAACATTTCATTTCAAATTAATTATTTAAAATATTTATACTACAATAACTTATTATTAATTAATTAACTCTTTTAAATTCGAGAAACTTTAAAAATAAAATTATTTTTAATAAACTCTGATACACAAGATACAATAAATAAAATTTACTTTTAAAATAATTAAATTTCATATTATTTCAAAATTCCTTCACAATACAAATAAACTATAAAATTATAAATTTTTTCAATAAAAATTACTTTAACCCCCCATTAAAATAATTTAACCTCAAAAATTCTTTTATTAAAAATTAATTTATTAATTTTTTCTTATTTATGACCCCTCAAATTAATTATAATATATAATATAATATCATTTCAATGTAAATGAAATACTTTACTCAAGCTCTAATTTGTACTCTTTCTAGAAACACTTTCCAGTACCTCTACTTTGTTACGACTTATTTCAATTTATTAATGAAAGCGACGGGCAATATGTACATATTTTAAATTAAAATCATTTTAATAAATTAAATAAAATTACATTTAAATCCAATTTCAATTAATTTTTAAAAATAATATCCAATTAAATAAATTTATTGTAATCCATTATATTCTTAATTATAATCTGCATCTTGATCTGATTTAACTTTTAATATAAAAATTAAAATATTATTATTATTTTAAAATATTTTTATAACAACGATATACAAAATTAAATAAATTAAGTAAATTTATTCGTGGAATATCAATTAATAAACAGATTCCTCTAAATAAACTAAAATACCGCCAAATTATTTAAGTTTTTATAAATAATTATATACTATTTTAGTATTATTAATTTAAATTTTTAATAATAGGGTATCTAATCCTAGTTTTTAATAAAATTTTTTAATTCATAATTCAATATAAAATTTTCATAAATTAAAATTTCACTTAATAATTTAAATTTTAATTTTATTATATAATTCATTATTAATTAATCCCTAAAAAAATTTAATTTAATTTTTGTATAACCGCAACTGCTGGCACAAAATTTGTTATTAATTTAAATATTACTAAATCTTAATTACTTAAATTTTTAATTTTAATTACTACAAATAAATATTAATTATTATTTAAATAAATTAAAAATTAACACTAAAATTTATATGTAAAATAAATTTATAATAAATTTTTAAACTATAAAAAATTTTATTATTTAATGTAATTTTTTTTACATAGATTTTTTTTTTTTTTTTTTTTTTACATTAAAATATTTATTAATTATTATTATTAATTTAAATATTTAATTTAATATTTTTTTATTAAAATAAATCAATGAATGATTAATTAATAAATAAATTAAATATTTAATGATTATTTAATATTTAAATTTAAATATTAATTGATTAATTATTATTAATTTAAATATTTAATTTAATATTTTTTTATTAAAATAAATCAATGAATGATTAATTAATAAATAAATTAAATATTTAATGATTATTTAATATTTAAATTTAAATATTAATTGATTAATTATTATTAATTTAAATATTTAATTTAATATTTTTTTATTAAAATAAATCAATGAATGATTAATTAATAAATAAATTAAATATTTAATGATTATTTAATATTTAAATTTAAATATTGATTGATTAATTAATATAAATTATTAAATTTTTAATATTTCTCTTATTTTTTTTCTTATAATATTAAGTTTAAATATAAAATCAATATTCAACCTATAATATTCATTAAAATAAAAAAAAATTAATATAATTAATATTAATTTTTTAATAATTTATTATATATATATATATATTAATTATATAAATAATTTATTATATATAAATTTATATAAATAAATTAAAAATTTAATATATATATATATATATAAATATTATTCATTTAAATTAATAACAAAACCATTGTTAATTTTTTTTCATTAAAAAAGAAAATTAAAAATAAGCTAATAAAAGCTTTTGGGCTCATACCTCAAATATAAAGGAAATACCTTTTTTTTAAATAAAGTGCCTGAATAAAGGATTATTCTGATAGAATAAATTAAGTAGAAATATCTACCTTTATTATATTTTATAGAATTAAACTATATCTAATAATATCAAAAATTATTGTGCATCTTACACTAAAATATAATTTAAATAATTAAAATAAAGAATTTATAATTCTATTAAATATATTTATATTTTTTTTTATTTTAACGAATAATAATTCAAATAAAATATTTTTTTTATTTATTCTATTTTTTAGAACATTAATTTCTATTTCTTCAAATTCATGATTTGGGTGTTGAATTGGATTAGAAATTAATTTATTAAGATTTATCCCCCTAATTTCAAACTCAAAAAATTTATTATCTGTAGAAACTTCATTAAAATATTTTCTTACACAATCTTTAGCATCAATTAATTTTTTATTTATAATTTTAATTAAATTTAGCTTATTAAAAAATTTTGATATAAATAATATTATTTCAATTATAATAAACTCTTCACTATTAATAAAAATAGGATCAGCACCATTCCATTTTTGATTCCCAAATATTGTAGAAGGTCTTTCATGAATAAATAATTTTATATTAATAACTTGACAAAAAATTTCACCTATAATTTTATTATCCTATTATTTTAACAAAAATTTTTTAATTTTTATAATTATTATAAATTTAATTATTGGATCTTTAGGTGGATTAAATCAAACATCATTACGCAAATTATTAGCATTTTCATCAATTAATAATTTAGGATGAATAATTTTTTCAATTATAATTAGAGAAAATTTATGATTGTTTTATTTTTTAATTTATTCTATAATAATTTTTATAATAATTTCATTATTTTTTTTAATAAATATATATTTTATAAACCAATTATTTATTAATAATATAAATTTTTTTATTAAAATAAATCTATTAATTAATTTTTTATCTTTAGGTGGACTACCACCATTTATAGGTTTTATACCAAAATGAATTATTATTAATTTTTTATTAATTAATAAATTTTATTTTTTAACTTTTATTTTTATAATAACAAGATTAATTATTATTTATTATTATATTCGAATTATTTATTCCTCATTTATATTTAATTATTTTAAAATAAAATGAATAAATCTTTTTATAAAAAATAATATATTTTTAATTAATTTATCATCTTTTATTTCAATTTCAAGAATAATTTTAAGAACTTTTATTTTTATATAAATTTTAAGGTTTTAAGTTAAAATAAACTAATAATCTTCAAAATTATTTATAAAGAAATTAAATCTTTAAGCCTTAATATTTATTAAAATATTCCTTAAAATTTGCAATTTTATATCATTATTGAATATAAAGCTAAAATTTAATAAAAGAGATTAATTCTCATAAATAAATTTACAATTTATCGCTTATTCTTCAGCCATTTTATTTACTTACTTTTATTTAGCGAAAATGAATTTATTCTACAAATCATAAAGATATTGGAACATTATATTTTATTTTTGGTATTTGATCAGGAATAATTGGAACATCTTTAAGACTTTTAATTCGAGCTGAATTAGGAAATCCAGGATCATTAATTGGAGATGATCAAATTTATAACACTATTGTAACAGCACATGCTTTTATTATAATTTTTTTTATAGTTATACCTATTATAATTGGAGGATTTGGAAATTGATTAGTTCCCCTTATACTAGGAGCACCAGATATAGCATTCCCACGAATAAATAATATAAGATTTTGACTCCTACCCCCCTCCCTTATATTATTAATTTCAAGAAGAATTGTAGAAAATGGTGCAGGAACAGGATGAACAGTTTACCCCCCACTTTCATCTAATATTGCACACAGAGGAAGATCTGTAGACCTTGCTATTTTTTCATTACATTTAGCAGGTATTTCATCAATTATAGGAGCAATTAATTTCATTACAACAATAATTAATATACGATTAAATAACATATCATTTGATCAATTACCTTTATTTGTATGAGCTGTAGGAATTACAGCATTTTTATTATTATTATCATTACCTGTTTTAGCTGGAGCTATTACAATATTATTAACAGATCGAAACTTAAATACATCATTTTTTGACCCTGCTGGAGGGGGAGATCCAATTTTATATCAACATTTATTTTGATTTTTTGGACATCCTGAAGTTTATATTTTAATTTTACCGGGATTTGGTATAATTTCTCATATTATTTCACAAGAAAGAGGAAAAAAAGAAACTTTTGGTTGTTTAGGAATAATTTATGCTATACTGGCAATTGGATTATTAGGATTTATTGTTTGAGCTCATCATATATTCACCGTAGGTATAGATATTGACACACGAGCATATTTTACTTCAGCTACTATAATTATTGCTGTACCAACAGGAATTAAAATTTTTAGATGATTAGCTACTATACATGGAACTCAAATTAATTATAATCCTAATATTTTATGAAGATTAGGTTTTGTATTTTTATTCACAGTAGGAGGATTAACAGGTGTAATCTTAGCTAATTCTTCCATTGATATTACATTACATGATACTTACTATGTAGTAGCTCACTTTCATTATGTTTTATCAATAGGAGCAGTATTTGCAATTATTGGAGGATTTATTAACTGATATCCTTTATTTACAGGTCTTTCCCTAAATTCTTATATATTAAAAATTCAATTTTTTACAATATTTATTGGAGTAAATATAACATTTTTCCCACAACATTTTTTAGGATTAGCTGGAATACCTCGACGATACTCAGATTATCCAGACTCATACATTTCATGAAATATAATTTCTTCATTAGGTTCATATATTTCTTTATTATCAGTAATAATAATATTAATTATTATTTGAGAATCAATAATTAATCAACGAATTAACTTATTTTCTTTAAACCTCTCCTCATCAATTGAATGATATCAAAACTTACCGCCAGCAGAACATTCATATAATGAACTACCAATTTTAAGAAATTTCTAATATGACAGACTATATGTAATGGATTTAAACCCCATCTATAAAGGAATATCCTTTTTTTAGAAATGGCAACATGATCAAATTTAAATCTACAAAATGGAGCTTCACCTTTAATAGAACAAATTATTTTTTTTCATGATCACACATTAATTATTTTAATTATAATTACAATTTTAGTTAGATATTTAATAATTAGTTTATTTTTTAATAAATATATTAATCGATTTTTACTAGAAGGACAAATAATTGAATTAATTTGAACAATTTTACCAGCTTTTACATTAATTTTCATTGCTTTACCATCATTACGATTATTATATCTATTAGATGAACTTAATAACCCACTAATTACATTAAAATCTATTGGACATCAATGATATTGAAGATATGAATATTCAGATTTTAATAATATTGAATTTGACTCATATATAATTCCATCTAATGAAATAAAAAATAATGAATTCCGACTATTAGATGTAGATAATCGTATTATTTTACCAATAAATAATCAAATTCGAATTATAATTACAGCAACTGATGTAATCCATTCATGAACAATCCCTTCATTAGGTGTTAAAGTTGATGCTAATCCAGGTCGATTAAATCAAACAAATTTCTTTATTAACCGACCTGGAATTTTTTTTGGCCAATGTTCAGAAATTTGTGGGGCTAATCATAGTTTTATACCTATTGTAATTGAAAGTATTTCAATCAAAAACTTTATTAATTGAATTAATAATTATTCATCATTAGATGACTGAAAGCAAGTAATGGTCTCTTAAACCATTTTATAGTAATTTAGCAACTACTTCTAATGAAAGAATTAGTTAAATATATAACTTAAATATGTCAAATTTAAATAATTACAAAAGTAATATTCTTTTATACCTCAAATAATACCTATTAATTGAATTTTTTTCTTATTTTTTTTTATTTGTATTTTTTTAATTTTTAATATTATAAATTATTTCATTTATGAAAAAAAAACATATTTTATTAATAAATTTAACCAAAAAAAAAAATTAATTTTTAACTGAAAATGATAACAAACTTATTTTCTATTTTTGATCCATCAACAAATTTAATAAATTTACCAATAAATTGAATTAGAACAATTTTAGGATTATTATTTATTCCATATAGATTTTGATTAATCCCAAATCGACATTTCATTATATGAAATTTCATCTCAAAAAAATTACATAATGAATTCAAAACATTATTAAAAAATAACTACTTTAATGGATCAACATTTATCTTTATTTCATTATTTTTTTTTATTTTTTTTAATAATTTTTTAGGATTATTCCCATATATTTTTACAAGAACTAGACACTTAACAATATCTTTATCCTTATCAATACCTTTATGACTTAGATTTATATTATATGGATGAATTAATAATACAAATCACATGTTTATTCATATAATTCCACAAGGAACACCCTATATTTTAATACCATTTATAGTAATTATTGAAACCATTAGAAATATTATTCGACCTGGAACTTTAGCAGTACGATTAACAGCTAATATAATTGCTGGGCACTTATTAATAACATTATTAAGAAGAACAGGAACTAATATATCATTTTATATAATTATTATTTTAATTTTTATCCAAATTATATTAATAATTTTAGAATCAGCAGTTGCTATTATTCAATCATATGTAATTACTATTTTAAGAACCCTTTATTATAGCGAAGTTAACTAAAAATTTAAATTAATGAAAATAAACAATAATCATCCATTTCATTTAGTAGATTATAGACCATGACCTTTTACAGGGGCAATTGGAGTATTAACATTAATAACAGGAATAATTAAATGATTTCATAATTTTAATTTTAACTTAATTATTATAGGTTATATTATTACTTTATTAACAGCTTATCAATGATGACGAGATATCTCACGAGAGGGAACATATCAAGGTAAACACACTATTCTAGTAAATAAAGGATTACGATGAGGAATAATCTTATTTATTATCTCAGAAATTTTCTTTTTTATTAGATTTTTTTGAGCCTTTTTTCATAGAAGATTATCTCCAAATATTGAAATTGGAAGAATATGACCCCCCTCAAGAATTACACCATTTAATCCATTTCAAATTCCTTTATTAAATACAATCATTTTAATCAGATCTGGAGTAACAGTAACATGAGCTCATCATTCACTAATAGAAAACAATTTCTCACAAACAAAACAAAGATTATTTTTAACCATTTTATTAGGATTTTATTTTACCATTTTACAAGCATATGAATATATT